CGGCTCTTACCCAGTGCCTGTCGGCCGTATGCATTACAGTACTCTAATTTTGGCACATTAACCTTTTCATAAGGGGTATTGAGGAGCTGTGAAATTGACTTTTTTTATTGTTATGGAAGTTATACATCTTGTGACAATCTTGTGGGGGGGGGGACCTCGATTCATCCATTTTCTAACCACTTCAATCAATTCAGGGTCCCAGGCAAGTTGGAGCATATCCTGGAAAACACTGGGTTCGAGGCGGGGTACGATCTGGATGGGACGCCAGTCCATCACAGATACTGGACAAACACACCACAGCCAAAGAGGAAAACCAACAATAGCAAAATTGTAATTATGGGGTGTGCCTTTTCCCTCAGAAAATGTTAATATTTTAGTATAATCTTCTCTTATAATTTTCACATTTTTTCCAGTATACCTGGCTCTACAAATAAATGAAAGTCTCAGCAGATTACCAAACTACATTCCTAATAATTCTTCCATTGATTTGATTAATAGGGAACAAGTAAAGGTTAATTCCACACTTAAAATGGAAAGGAGAAAGTTAATGTTTTGGCCATTGTGCCTTCTTCAGCATTGAAGAAATGGGGAATTAATATGTATGTATTCCTTTGCTGCCAACACACTGATACAGCTCCCTGTGGGAAATATTATTTTTAAAGGAAAAGGCACTGCAGTATCTAAAGATCCTGCCCCTCACCTTGCACAGAATTCAATTTTTACCTCTCCTTTATAACCACAAACTGAGTTGATCCCTGCTAACCCTCCAGACAAGACAGGTCACCCATGTCTCACTGAAGACTTTAAATACACACTAATTTAGTGGTTGTGCTGGGGTTCACATGCCTAGAAAGACTGCATATATTAATATACCTGGTATATTAAATAAATTGCATAAGATCTTCTGTAAATCAGAATGAAGGATGTGTTTCTCACTGGGACAGTTTAGATCAATAATTTTACTTGCAAGTTTTTGTCTCGGCAATACGACTCCTGCTTTTGAATAACGGCAAAACCAAATTCCTGCTTTTTGTGGACTGAAATATCATTCACAAAGTCTCGCACTTGGACTGCGAGCCATATCTCCGGAGAGCATAATCTATAAAAATATCCCAGGGGCGAGTGCAGTCCTCTGTAACCACAAAAGGATTAGTCTGCATTGTTCAAGATTAGACAACAGGAACGTGCACATACAGTAATTGCCTGTAGAAAAAAAAATCAAGTAATGTCTACTACCAACACGTAGGAAAATGAAATATTGCTGAAAAAAACAGGCATTATTTTTGTGAGATCCATGTCTTACCCACCCCTGAAAAAAATAAACTGGCAGTGAGTGACAGATGCAGAACTTGGGCTCTGCTCCTGTAAAACACGCTGTTTCATGTCCTTCATGGTGTTACGCACTATAAAACCACTCTGTTGGCACATCTGTGCTATTTGCAAACTCAATCATATCCAGGAATTGAGAGGACATTGATAAAGTAGTTTATACAGTGAATTTAAATACTTTAAGAAGGAGCTAACTCAACTCAACAACACTTCTTGTGCATTGAAGACCAATAACGCCAACACAGGCCTGTTTCTTAAATTTTTCTCCTGCCATAATATCTTGGTAGAAGGATATCTGGATCTTGTTTTTCACCCGTAAGCTTCAATTCCTTCTCCTCTCAAATGCAAGTTGTGAATGCAGAGAGGATTTCCAAGTCAACGGATTTTGAAGATAAATTATGGGTGTGTATCAATGCAAAAAGTTCTTTGAGAAAGATAAAATAGATGATAAATACTCTAGCGCCAGCACATTGAGTACATGTGCACAGCAAGTCCAGAAAACAGACATGTACAGTATTTAATACAGACAAGTTCTTGTATTACATTGTGTGACCATAACTGTGCAAGGAAGATTTAGGAAAATCGGCAAAAGTATTTAAGAAACCAGCTGGAACAAGCTGTAAGACAACGGAACCAAATTGTGGACAACCAGGGCTAGCAATCCTACAGAAGAGAACATTTCTTACAGAACAGTTTTTAAATTGAAAATTCCTAATGTGAACCGTCTTTAGCCTTGTTGAGGTGCAGGCACTAACAGGAGAGGTTTAAGTCTGCCTGTCTCAGTGTAGGCTTTCCATTTTGAGAGCCTCAAAGAGGCTTAAAGCAAGTGAGCAATGAGGAGCCCATATCTAGCAAATACTGTCTTGATGGGTGACCATTCTAACATTCATGAATGATTCTGTGTCCTCCTTACTGCACAATGCTTTCTTTAATTGAACTTCACCCACTTATGAAAAGAATGGATCATTTACATTTTACTCATGCCTTTGGTGTCTGAACACCCACACGTTTTTATGCGTGTTGCTCTCTGAATGTTTTTTTTTAAAGTTTGACAAAGGAACCAGACATTGCAGTATGGTGCCTCCACAAATAACACAAACTGCTCCTTTGTCATGCTCTAGGACTGCTTTCTTCTTTCTTCTTCAATTTCATTGAGAGCACCAGACATGGACTATAAACATCCGTAAAGTACTGTGCTCTGAATTTACCTCCTCTCTTCCCTGTCATGTTTTCACAAGTACACCTCAAAAAATGAGCAGCAATCACAATATAATCAATTTCAAGACGGATAATAAGATTATCCTCTGTGTCTATCTGGTTGTCTTTTTACTGTATATCACTGGCACAATGAAGATGCCTTTCAATATCTCAAGATCTAAAATGCTTACCTCAAAAGATCAGACTGGCATGTTGTAAACCCTTTTAATAAGGAGATTATGTGTTCAAATCCCAGCTCTACATGTGTGGAGAGGTTCTTAAGACACAGCTTTTCCACAATAAGACTATGACTCTACAATTGCTGCTGAGACAGTGCTGCGTAGTTAATGTCATTAAATGATTTTATTTTAGGGCTGCTGTTTTTCCTTATCTTTTGCAACCGAAGTAGCCCCGCCATCATTAGCTTGCTGTTAAGAGTTTCACTATGGCTCTGAAAGTGATAAAGATGGAGCTGATGTGAGAATCTCTCAGAATGAACATGCTCCTCCAGGTGGAAGCAGGTTATTTGTGCCCAGGGCACAGGAAAGTGTAGGCTTTGATTATAAATTCAAAAGTACGTTGTGTAGTGCAAGCTGTTAATTTGGAGTTCAATGAAAGTTTTGTGTCATTTCGGTCAATTAAGATGCATTCATACTGTACTTATTCAGATGCATTGGAAAGGCTTGTTGTCTCTCCTGAGTATGGTAACGTGTGCAATATGAACAATTATAGTTTGAGAAATAAATAAAAATATTCTGAGGGCCCACAGGATGGAAAATTTAAGTACATAGAGGAAATTTGCTCAATCAGGTCACCAACATTTAAAAAAAACAGTTAGCCCACAGTGTTGTGCAGGAAAATTACATATCTAACACAGCAAATTCAGGAATAAGAAAGCAGGGATCATTGATTCAGAGTCAAAGGACAGCTTTTTTTATCTGACATTTCCTAGCCACAAGCTCCAAAACATTCAAAGAATTGATGAAACTGGGGAAAAACTATAACCTTGATTGCAAGCTTTTTGGGCCAGGTCAAATATACAATAAAAAATTATACTGACCTAGAATGGTCCTGGCATTGGCCATTATTAGAGAATTCAGAATCATGTTGTCAGTGCACAGCTTCCATAATGTTTATTACAGAAAACAATTTTCAGCTTTTGTTGGTATCAACTATTGTCCAATTTCTTTTTATTCTGTTTTGTATATTTTAGCTGTAAAAAACAAACAAGCAGGTTGTTTTCTAAGCACTTCCCATGAATACCTAAGGGCTTAAACAGGCCACAGGTTCATTGTTTGCTGTTGTGCTCTAGTTTGGGGGGGAAATTAGGATCTTGTAGTCTGCCTCTGTGATGGACTGGTGTCCCGTTGTTTGCTGGGATAGTCTCTGACACCTTAACACCATCTTCAACTACCCAGCCTCTGTGGTCTAAAAACAACTCATACTTTGGTTTCGGCCCTTGGTTTAAATACACTTGCCACTAATTGTTACTCTTAATTTGTTACGAGGAGCTGCTTGTGAATCTTCACCTACACATTGGCAGAATATTTTAACAAGTGCTATATGAAACTCTTATCGCAGACACTGTATACACATTTACTTAGCAATTTTATCCTTCCCATCCTGGACCTGCTCAGGGGACTATGGGAGTATGTGTTTTCTGAGAAATTGGGGAAAAAGGCAAATGTAAATACAGGTGTATTTTAAAACGGTCATGTGTGTTGACAGGGAAAAGCCAGTGTGGATCGAATTCACCACTGCCTGAATGAAAAAACCCTGAAAACAACTGAAATACAAGGCCTTTTAAACCAGCATTGCTTATTTTACATCGCTGACAATATTATGGAGTTATAGAACAATAACTGCTAATTTTTTTTTTAGCATGACTGCTTTCATTTTACCAAATAACTTGCGTAAATTCCCTTCTATCTCCGTTTTTTTTTTCTGACAGACAAGGATATTAGCACAATCTCCAGTGGTTTCAATAGTCTATTTGTCTTGAGCGCTCAGAATACTTTACATTCCATTTTCATGTTGAGCCCAAGCAAATTCTTGCATCAAACATTCAATAGTAATTTCTGGTAAGAGTAAGGTGGACAGAATTAAATCTGACGAATAAGCAGCCGTAGGTTTTTTTTTAAGCATTTCGGACGCTTGAAAGTTGAAGAGGTGCGTCATCGGCAGAGGACTTCTGCAATTATTTGCCTGATGGTACAGTTTGTGAATCTTGCATGCGTGCACTTCATTGTCAAAAATACAGGTTCGGGATGTACATGCCTTCTATAGGAGTGTGATCAACTCATGGTTTTAAGAAATAACAAAGAACTCTAAATAGTTGCTCCGTTACACTACGAAAATGAGTTCCCCATGTTCTTATGCGGAGAAGGATTTGCTTTCCAAAAATTCTTTAAGAGGTCGGACATGGTGAAACACACATTTGGTCTTGAGAAGTGAGTACTGAATGAACATACTTCACAATACTGAAAGAAAATACTGATATCTGATTTGCCTTAGGAGACATCACCTTAAGAGGTAATCTGCACTCCAGAATCCCTCCTCTGTGTGAGGACTGACTGTAAAGACGTGTGAGGAAGGCACAAAGTCTCTCCATCAATGTTCCTTTTTGGTGGCTTTGCGTGGTTTTTTGTTTTTCTTTACACACCTTTTGAAGACTTTTTAATAAATAACACAAATATATAAAGATTTTAATATGCTACATGCAATTCATATAACTTAAAGGAATAATTTATGTCTGCAGTCCAGAGAGAGAGAGAGGGTGTGGGTGGGGGAGGGGAGGGGGCGCTTGGTTACGTTCTCCGGGCTTTACGCGAAAGCGCGCACACACACGACGTGTCTATCCGGATCCACCTCCACCCGACGGAGTTCTTCTCCGAGGCCAGCGCCCGGACGAAGGTCTGGGAGGTCTTGCACTGCGAGTTCCAGCGCCGGTCGTCGATGCCCTTGCAGCTGCGCTTGGTGGAGGTGGAGGCCACGCACTTGGTCTCGTAAAAGTACTGCTTGACGTCGGCGCCCTCCATCTTGATCTGCTTCAGGACGGTCACCTCCCGCCCCCGGATGTCCACGGCCGTGGATTTGTCCGTCACCCACAGGCTCTCGCTCTCGCACACGGAGTACTCCCCCCGGTAGCTCTTGTGTTCCGCGTACCGCTTCTGCCGCGTCCGGTTCAGCGCCTCGGGGCTCCCCAGGTAGTCGTCCGCCAGGTACAACGGCGGCGGCTGCAGGGGCGGCCGCTCGCTGAGGAGCACCCGGGGGGAGCTGTACCGTTTGCGCTGTCTCAGCAGCTCCGCGTCCAGCTGGAGGGCCAGCCTCCCCTCCGGGTAATCCCCCTCCTCGGGGACGCCACCGGCTGTTCTGCCGTCCCCCGCCGTCCTGTGCGTCGCCCCCTGCTGGTGCTTGCTTTTCACGATGTCCGCCTGGAGGAGCCTGATGATCAGCGAGTTCACGGGGTCCGGTGATAATTCCCGCCTGTCCATCGACGTAGCTTGGATACCGCAGAGGTAAGCCAGGAACATTACATAAAGCAGGATGGACATTACTAGATTCACCTGTAAGATCTGTAGAGCAAAGGAGGGGGGAAAAAAAACACAGAAGAGGGTAAATTACCTGGACGGGTGAGCAAGGGCCTTCCGGCTCTGCGCGGTGTTACGCCATGCAATCTACGAGACCATTTAGTTGTCATTATGAAGCACAGGATACCGACGTGTGGAACGTGCACTAGAGCAAAACGGAAGGTGTACTGCTCATGTCTGATAAAACTTTTTTTTTTTTAATTGAAAAGCCCAAAACAGCATGAAAACTGTCTGAGCTGGAGTATTAAAAGGCGAATTTCGATTGAAGTACCCAAGAGTTCATGGGTGTAGTGAGATCTGGCCTAACCTGCTTGACTCTAAGGCCAGTCTCCTGGTGTTGAGAGGTTAGGACTCTTTTCCTCCTAATTATAAAGCTAGGCAGTATGTCGGCTTGCTTCTCTCCCTCACATTTGTCCTCCACCCCATCTCCACCTCTGCAGCTGCCCCTTGGTCACTCCTCTGTCCACAGGGATGTCCCAGCCTCCTCGTCCTGTGGCCAGGAGGTCAGCCCCTTAGCTAAGAGGGTGAAGCAGAGTTTACTGTGACTAAAACACTCAGTAACCACCTCTCGCTTCACTCAATTCTTCTGGTGTTGCCATTCCTAGTGAGAATTGGAAACGGAGGCTTAAAAGGAGGACCGGACACACAATGATCCCGTTTCAAAAGTAAATATATTTCAGCAGACGGGAAAATGACATCTGGAAAACGGCCAAAACCTTAATTATTCAGCTAAAACCTTTGACTGGCCCAGGACTCGTACAAATTTCACCTCAAACAGAAGTCGAAATTTGGTTTGTTTCAAAGACTGGTTCAGTAGGGCAGACGTTTCAACTGAACTAAAACTGTAACCAGCACTCCTAAAACTCCAGATCTGCTTCAAGTACTTTCCAAGCTTCCAATTTTAGCAGATTTTGGTTTTGCTACAATACCGAGATTGTTAGGACCATTAATTGGAAGTTCACCAAAGGTGAAATAATGTTTTGCTCCATACTAGAGGTTGCCAACAAGGTTATAAAGAGATTTTAAGATGGACCTATCCACGTGGTGTTGAGGCAAATAGCTACCTCTTTTCTATAAAATGTGGATTTGCAGCCTGCTATGAATAAAAGAACTAATATTACAAAATAATGTCGTACGTGTTCAGCAATCATGCTGTTAAAACAAACCAACCATAGGCCCCAAACATGAAGCAAGCCGACAGTCGATTTTATTATTTCTTTCAAATATCGAGCAGTAAACGGAATAACACTGAGCTACAATACAGGACAACAGGCAAAGCCAGTGAAGCATGTGTACAGTAAAGTCCATAGTCGCCATTGCCCAGAGACCTATGATGATGTCAGCAGTCCAGTAGAGTTACCTTTTCCAGTTGCTCAACGCAAGCGAAGCAGAAGTTTTTTGCATTTCCTGCTGAAACTGTCGGCTAGCATTGGCAATGTCACTTCATGGGCCCGTTTCATTTTTTTAATCTTTGCTGTCCAGCTCTGCGGAGATTCCCACAGCCCTGGTTTCAATTATGTTAATGAGTCAATGATTCAATTACGGGTTTCAATAAATGCGTGGTTTGTTTTCCTTGTGGTAAATTGGGTTTCCTCCGGGTGCTCTGGTTTCCTCCCATAGTCCAAAGACATACTTGTAGGTTAACTAATTTCTGGGAAAAGTGGCCCTGGCGTTAGTATGCATGTCTGTCTGTGTGTGCCCTGCGATAGACTAGCGTCCTGTCCAGGGTGTACCCTGCCTTGTGCCTTTTGCTTGCTGGGATAGACTCCAGCTACCCAGCGACCCTGTATCGGATAAAGCAGTTAGAAAATGGATGGATGGATGGATTCCTTCTAAGAATAGCATCCTCTCAAGGAAGGGGAACTGCAAAACAGCCTATGATAAAAGGATGTGCAGCACAAATAGGCGTTTCCACACTCTTTAGGAACAGAAGAAAGATGTTCTGTCTTTCAACCTGGGGGAGGCCACCCAGTCCAGTACCAGAGCAGTAAAATAACTATAACAGGCGAGTAAATAGTTTAGAACACAATACTGGATTAGCAATCGATACTGATTTACTGTAGTGGATATTCTAAAGGCATATTTCACCCAGGTTTTTACAATAGCAGACGTCGGTATCTGCCCCTAGCCGATGAATGATCCATCGGTACAGGGTGATTTGATCATAACGGACACCGTGGTTCTCCAAGGGGCTAGGCTGGCTAAAAACCATTTAATCCGAGACGGGAAACAGAACTCGAATAAAGCAGAGAAACGTTTGCCATGATGTATATAGCTGTCCAGAATGCTTTGTATCCAGAAGGCTAATGTACCTCAGCCTTATACCTGAGGAGGCTGCTTCTCAAATGAAAAGCCAAACAAATCCAAGGCAACATGTCCATGTGGATTGAGACCTGGCTAACAAGCAGGAAACAGTGTGTTGCCTTAAGGGGCACGAGATCTCATTAGGCAGATTAGATTAGCTCTTCCAGACCTCCAAGGCCTAATTTGGATTCTGCCGTTTAGCAAACTAGATATATTTGCAGATGAGATTAAAATGGGGGGGACAAACACAGAAATAGCAGCAAGGGAATCCCAAAGACGGATAAAATCTTGGAGCGGGCTGATGTACGGAAAATTAAATTGAACACTGAGAGAGGCAAAGTGATCCACACGAGCAGTAGTAACCTGGGAAAGTTCTGGCTTCCAATACAGAAAGTAAGCTAAGTAATATGATGAAGTCCCTCACTTGGAATATTGTTTCTATTTTTGGCAGCCTTGGAAAGAGTTCAAAGAAGAGCAAAAAGAAGGATTCCTGGTCTCTGGGGAATGTCTTCTACAGTCAGGTTAAGGGAGCTACTGTAAGCCTCCTCAGTCTAGAAGAAAGACCATTTTAATTCAAGAATGAGATTCTAGGGTGTCAAATATACTGTATTGGGTCAAGCCAGGTGACTATCTCGCTATCGATAGAGAATCAATTACATGGATTTGCAATCGGATAATAAAGGAATTCACTTAAGATGCATTTTCCAACTCAGTGGGTAAGCTCCAAACTCCAGGGACTTTAAAGAAACATCTTAAAAGTTAATAAGGATATAATTGTAGGTTTAGCTTGGCCACTATACTACCAAACCAGCAGGATTTGTTGAATAACCTCTTATTTGCATCTTCCTTTATTTAAATCCATCCTGCTTGTTTGGCCACAAACAGATATCCGGATCTTACCAAGGACATAACCCTGAAGCGTCCCAGCAATATGCATTCAACAATAAAACTAACCAGGTTTCACATACTGGTGATAAAATCTCATTAGATTTACTGCGAATCGGATTGATCAACTTCATGTGAGTTTTGTCATTAAAGGTATTTTGAAAAGCAGAGTCTCTGCATTGACAGAAGCTTTCTCAACCCACTTCACTTACACATCATGTTTTCACCATTACTGTGTGGAGTTCTGAATGATCAGGCTGGATGTTCAGGACAAATGTAGCAAATGATCGCGAAAATGCAGGGAAGGGACTAGAAAAATAATGTGAAGAGTCTGGAAAAGCTAGCCAGTTGTCTAGAAAACGGATGAAGGATCTAAAAAAATCCAGAGATTGGTCTGGAAAAAACTCCAAGAAGAAACTTGTATGCAAATCTGTGAAACCAGAGTGCAATGAAAATAACTCTGGAACCCCAAATGAACGCAGAAACTGATAAAGCTGTCAATTCCCAGTGTTCCACAGGCTAGAATGCTTTCTAGTTCACTTCTGTTAAATAATTTGTAAAAATGACAGCTGGTTAATAAAATTGTGATGTTTAGAACAAATTACATCTTGAGGTCTCGAGTTAGCCATCACTGACCAAACTGATCATAAAGTACTCGGAAGGACTCCTGATTGGCATATTAATGAATTGTGCCCCCTTAAAATAAGTTTTCAAGGATGGTCCAAGTCTTTCTTCATGTGTTCCTTTCTTGGTAGAGTTGCATGTGAACTTGGATATTTTGGATGCATTTTGATCTCTACTGAGCACGTTAAAGCAGAAAATATGCATAACTGCAGATCGGACTAGGCTACTAGTCATGTAAGAGATTAGTTCTTGTTGTTTTCTGGGAGGAGATTAAAGTTTCTATTGGTAAAGGTTAAAGGTCTTATAATTTGTCTTGAATAGAATGCAACATGTTTCTAAAACTGTGAGCATTAGATTTAGAAATGCTTAATCTTTTTATATAGCCAGTGTTGAGATATACACTATTCAGATCTTTATCTTGGCATTTTAAATGCATTTCTGTATCAAACGGGATCAAGCAATTATAATTCCATTAGCTCTAATAGTGTCTTGAATGCCAAGTTATGGAAAGATGTATTATCATGCCACAACTTGGAGACAGTGTTGTATGAATTCAGCTGTCAGCTTCAGACAAGGCTATAGACGACACGTTTGTACTGCTATGGGCAGTAAGCTAAGTGCAACCCCCTGGATAAGCTGTTAAATACATTTCAATCTTAATCATTTGAGTTGTGGCAGCCAACCCCTGAACTATCACATACAGTACAACGGACAACATCGATAAGCTAGAAGCAGGGAAATTGAAATGTACTTGCTCTGTTTGATAAGAGGCCCCCTGTGCAAGAAATTATTTTTTTTTTCATTCAGGAAAAATGCCTGATTGATTTGCTGCCCTTATTATTCAATATTATAGTACTTTTCATATACACAAAACCAACCATTGCTCCTCCAAACAAAAAAACAAAACACATACTGTAGATATATGCCCGCCTACACACAATGCTACATAAACAGCTTAAGGCCCAAAAGCGTGCAAGGCTATACCCTCATATACCAGAGTATACACTATGCGTATTATGTTCTGCATGCTCCTTTTCTGTTCCAGTGTGATCTCAGGTTATACTTTGAAAGATGCTGTATCACTTTTCAGACGGTTAAGATTTTTCTTCTGCTCCCTGACTTGCAAATCTACAGGTAAAACTTGACATTTAGGCAAATACCTACCTGCAGGA